AGTGTCTCTACTTTAAAGAGTCCTCTCCTGCTGATGTTCAGGTGTATAACAGTATGTAGTGTCTCTACTTTAAAGAGTCCTCTCCTGCTGATGTTCAGGTGTATATCAGTACTGTATATAGTGTCTCTACTTTAAAGAGTCCTCTCCTGCTGATGTTCAGGTGTATATCAGTACTGTATGTAGTGTCTCTACTTTAAAGAGTCCTCTCCTGCTGATGTTCAGGTGTATATCAGTATGTAGTGTCTCTACTTTAAAGAGTCATCTCCTGCTGATGTTCAGGTGTATATCAGTATGTAGTGTCTCTACTTTAAAGAGTCCTCTCCTGCTGATGTTCAGGTGTATATCAGTATGTAGTGTCTCTACTTTAAAGAGTTCTCTCCTGCTGATGTTCAGGTGTATATCAGTATGTAGTGTCTCTACTTTAAAGAGTCCTCTCCTGCTGATGTTCAGGCGTGTATCAGTATGTAGTGTCTCTACTTTAAAGAGTCCTCTCCTGCTGATGTTCAGGTGTATATCAGTATGTAGTGTCTCTACTTTAAAGAGTCCTCTCCTGCTGATGTTCAGGTGTATATCAGTATGTAGTGTCTCTACTTTAAAGAGTCCTCTCCTGCTGATGTTCAGGTGTATGTCAGTATGTAGTGTCTCTACTTTAAAGAGTCCTCTTCTGCTGATGTTCAGGTGTTTATCAGTATGTAGTGTCTCTACTTTAAAGAGTCCTCTCCTGCTGATGTTCAGGTGTATATCAGTATGTAGTGTCTCTACTTTAAAGAGTCCTCTCCTGCTGATGTTCAGGCGTGTATCAGTATGTAGTGTCTCTACTTTAAAGAGTCCTCTCCTGCTGATGTTCAGGTGTATATCAGTATGTAGTGTCTCTACTTTAAAGAGTCCTCTCCTGCTGATGTTCAGGTGTATATCAGTATGTAGTGTCTCTACTTTAAAGAGTCCTCTCCTGCTGATGTTCAGGTGTATATCAGTATGTAGTGTCTCTACTTTAAAGAGTCCTCTCCTGCTGATGTTCAGGTGTATATCAGTATGTAGTGTCTCTACTTTAAAGAGTCCTCTCCTGCTGATGTTCAGGTGTATATCAGTATGTAGTGTCTCTACTTTAAAGAGTCCTCTCCTGCTGATGTTCAGGTGTATATCAGTATGTAGTGTCTCTACTTTAAAGAGTCCTCTCCGGCTGATGTTCAGGTGTATATCAGTGTGTAGTGTCTCTACTTTAAAGAGTCCTCTCCTGCTGATGTTCAGGTGTATATCAGTATGTAGTGTCTCTACTTTAAAGAGTCCTCTCCGGCTGATGTTCAGGTGTATATCAGTATGTAGTGTCTCTACTTTAAAGAGTCCTCTCCTGCTGATGTTCAGGTGTATATCAGTATGTAGTGTCTCTACTGTCTCCATGCTCTTATTTCTGCTGCTTTAACACCTGAGTTTAACAAAGGTTTATTCTAAGTTTTTTTTCTATTATAAGGTAGTTAAACTGGCCTTATCTCCATCGTGACTCCAGCATAATGGGACTTAATAGCCCTTTAAAGTGTGGATCTGTATGCTGCTTTCATGGCTTTGAAGAGATAAAAGCAGAGCCGCCAGACCTTTACACCATCACACACACACACACACACACACACACACACACTGAAGGTCACCTCACATGAACTAACATCAAACACCCAACGACACATTTCCCTTCAAACTCAGAGATATAATAGATAGATATATGCTGGTGTAACAGCTGTGTCCATGTTTCTATGCAATACACACACACACACACACACACACACACACACACACACACACACACACACACACACACACACACACACACACACACACACACACACACACACACACACACACACACACACACACACACACACACACACACACACACCACACACACACACACACACACACACACACACACACACACACACACACACACACACACACACACACACACACACACACCACAGAAGGAAGAGACATGCACACACACAGAGATAATCTGTTCAATTTTGTCGGATGTGTAACAGCGACACGTTCATCAGAGTTATTATATGAAAGGTTTTTCTATCCGTGCGCTCGTAGTAGTAGTATAAGAAATTAATGTAAATGTAAGTGGAAATCTCCCTTGGTAGAGAATTGTATTCCATATTTTTTTATGTAGTTGCATTTGACTTAATATTTCTTTTTTTCCTTTAATTTAATTTAGTTTCTCTACTTTTAAGAGATTGATAGTTAAATAAATTACACCTTTTTCCACATTACCCATTAACTACTTAAGCTTATAAATCCATTATGTGAGCGCTAATGAAAAGCTGCTTTCAGGTACAGACCAGCTTTTAATTTCAATAATGTTCACACTGTCCTCAAAGTGTCTGACATCCCGTTGGGAGATGTCAAAGCTTCATAATGTTTTTCATGGATCCTGTGAGTGTTTTAGATCCTTGTTGTTGTGAACTTGTGTTGCTTTTGGAGAGCTTAATTAGACGGCCTGATGTGTTGATTGTTCATCAACCAAGGAACATTAAAATGTACCCACCTGTTTCTAACATAAGCCAGGTCCAAACAAAGCCAAATAAAAGGGTTGATATGCAATATTTTTCAACTGTCAAATCCCATTGAAACAACACTGAACATATCTGATTATTGAAGGACTGTGTTTGTATTAACCTGTTAAGCCCCAAAGCCCCCGTCGGCGGGTCTTTTTTTTTTATTCACAAAAAAAAAAAAAAAAAAAGTTTTATTTAAAAAAAAATTCTTTGGATGAAATGAATACCTATGGTGATAATTCAATGTACTACATCATTTTTATAGTCTGGTACCTGAAAAAGGTCAAATGGCACTGATGGAACCAGATGTACCCAAATGTGCCGAAAGCTTATTCCGCCTGGAACTTTTTTTGCTAAACCTCTCTAAAAAGGTCAAATTTCACTTGTTTTGCCTCAATCTTGATACAGGGTACTTATTATATGTTATAATTTGGATTCCTAAAGCTTTTAGTCTACCATCCCATCATTCAAGGGTGGTTTTCACTATAAGTAATGTTTTTTCTTTAGGCGGAGGTAAGAATTTACCTTTTTTTTACTATGTTCCATCTGAATTTACTCTGACTGAGAAAAATCTATATTGATTCTGACACTTCTACACCGAACTCACAGATGTAACCTTGCTTTGATAAAATAAATTATTCATATAACCCTTTTAGAAGTGAAGTTGTAGTCATTTGTTTTGGGCATGTCATTTTCGAGCCTGAAACCTGAAAAACAGGCTCGGGGCTTAACAGGTTAAACCCTGATATCTTCCCAAAGAGATTCATCGTCGTCCAATTGGCACTACAATATATATCATGTAAATTGCAATATGCAAAGTGGTGTATTAGTATAAATCAAATGCTGAATGGCAACGTTTGAAAGGGTTTGTCTGCTGTTGGTGAAACAGTCTGTAAGCATGTGTTTCCTGACAGGAAGTAGGAGAGGGAATGATGAAGTGAGGCGGACATGTTACTACTTCTGATGCTTAACTGTATCAGTGTGAGAGATACAATCATCAGCAGACAGAGAACAAGACTCCTGTGTCTCAGAGATTACAGAAAACAAATCAAAGAAAGACGTTCTGCAGGAATATGAGGAAGAGGAAAAGTGGGGAAATGATGTTGGACGTGAAAACTAAAGGAGGGACGACGAGATATCAGAAAAAGAAATGGTGAATAAATGGAGGTAACTCAAGGAACACGCAGGGAGGATGAGAAGGAGGATGGTGAGGAGAGGGGAGGGTAATAAGGAAAGGGATTAGGAAAGGAAAGCAGAAGGAGAAAGAGGTGAGAGGAGAATAATGGAAATGGAGGATGAGGAGGAGAGTGGAGGAAAAGCAGAGGAAAGGATGAGATAGGAAGAGAGGGAAGGAAAGGGATTAAGATTATTAATGGAAATGAAATTAGAGAGAAGGAGAGTTTATAACAGAGGAGGAAAGGGAAGGGAAGGATGGAAAAGTGGGACGTAGAAAAGGAAGGATAGAGGGGAAAGGAGGAGGAAGAGGAAAGTAGAAAATGGCATCCAAGTGCAATCAGAGGAAATGGAAAAAAGAAGGGAAATGGAAATGAAAGGAGAGTGAAAGAGCTCTCAAAGAGTCATTATTGATGCTTTATTCTGAAGGCATCTTTGGGCACAAGCTAGTAGGGTTAGCATGCTGGCGTATCGTAAACACGTGGATAATGTCGGTCGGATTCTCAAAAGCACCGCAGTCTCTTTTCCTAAGTCCTTTTGAAAAGACGATAAGAGCTGATTTCAAGCTTCCACATTTCCGTTTAAAGTCTTAAAACTGCTATTACTTTGCATTGCGTCGCCAGCTTTATCAACCTTTACTTTACAAAGAAACTGTTTCTTAGGCTTTTAAATTAACTGGTATTAAAGATCCCCTATTATATATTTCTAGCATAATAGGTGAGCTTTAAGTTATAACAGTTTTTATCTATAATGCTGCTAGTGCTCAACCAAAAGAAGTAAGACATAAGCATTTAAACCGTAAGAGGGAGAAGTTAAATAGTCTCTTGGACAGGTTGAGAATCTCTGTAGTTTAAACACTCTTTGAGAATATCCGACACATAGGAATAAAAAGTTGTCTTTAAGTGTTCAAATCCACACTTCCCAGCAGACACTTTCACACACACTCATCGAGCGACAGACCTCATAATTGAATCTGTCAAACAAGTCGTGTTCGTCCAGTTCTCAGCACTGGGAGGGACGGGAGCATCACGACGTGTCTCTGTATTGAACGAACACTTGGCATCCCTTAGCATCCGACCACAGACACATCACTGTCACATTGTTCATCGCTCTAAAAACATGTTAATCTGCGATCTGGAGGGAGGGGGGCATGATGGGAAAAAGCAGGAAAATCCACCAACAATACATACGGGTTTCCATGAGAGACTGGCAGGCTGTGGGCATGTTTGTCAGAGATTACAGGGAACAAGAGGAGGATGTTAAATCACACGGACTCACATTGTCTGTTCTGAGCTTCTTGGCGGGGCAGCCTCCATCCACAGGATGTAGCATGTAGTACAGACGCACTTTGTTGGCGTGTTTCCGACTCTGAGGGGGAGAAAAAGGGACAAAAGTTAGAAATAAACAAATGATTTGACATGTTGTTGTGTTAGCGATAAGGTGGTCAGGGAAAATGTATTTCTGAATGTTAGCATCTCCCATGTCAAAATGCTAATGGGATTTTACAGTCGGATTTTGGATTATGCAGAAAATCTCAACAAACAAGCTTTAATGGCAATGAGGAGTCCTCTCAATCGCCAGGAGTAAAAAGCTTAACCGATAAGCTAAAGGAGGCTAATGTTGGGCTATAATGGAACTACAGCACGGTCACATGACTTCACGTCACCACCGCTAAGCTAAAGGTGGCTAATGTTGGGCTATAAAGGAACTACAGGAAGGTCACATGACTTCACGTCACCACCGCTAAGCTAAAGGAGGCTAATGTTGGGCTATAAAGGAACTACAGGAAGGTCACATGACTTCACATCACCACCGCTAAGCTAAAGGAGGCTAATGTTGGGCTATAAAGGAACTACAGCACGGTCACATGACTTCACCTCACCACCGCTAAGCTAAAGGTGGCTAATGTTGGGCTATAAAGGAACTACAGCACGGTCACATGACTTCACCTCACCACCGCTAAGCTAAAGGCGGCTAATGTTGGGCTATAAAGGAACTACAGCACGGTCACATGACTTCACGTCACCACCGCTAAGCTAAAGGAGGCTAATGTTGGGCGTGATGACGTTTAGTCGTCTAATTTAGACACTTGTTAGCAACCTCCGTTTCTAAATCCACCAGTGGGGTATTAACTGATGTGTTTTATGAAGTAGAACAAAAACTGTTAACCACAGACCTTATTTTAGGAAAACAACCAAAAACACATTCAGAAAACCACTGACCTCCAGACCAGAGGACAGGAAGTGCTGAAATTATGACTAATTTCTGTGTTTTTGGGTCCCAAAAGAGGAGGTTTCATTTAAAATAAGAAAGGTCTGAGGCTCTGTTCTGGTAAAGAGATAGAAAGCCTTTAATCAGATGGATTTCATGTTCGAATAAAACTGAGTTGCTGCACAAACAGCTTTCTGCAGGGGGTGAAATGATTAAAGGCTTTTTCACTTTTGGCCAGAGGAGTAGATAATATTGAACCAGCAATGAATTTTAAAACACCTTTTTACAATGCATTGCCTTTGTCTAATGTGCAAAACACTGCCCGTGTTATAAGTAAATGATTGCTGTTTTGGGGATAATCAGGTTAGATCGTCAACGTTGGAAATAATGAACACAAAAATAACATTAAGACACTTTTCTGAACAATATAAGAGGATATTATTAAGCTTTGTAAAGCAGCTATTATGGATTTTCTTGTAACAAATGACAATGTGAAAGAGTGTTGATGAATCTTATCGAGTATTATCTCATGAATCTGTGTCCAGTTCGGCTTTACAGAGACTTACTTTCAGTTTAATCAGATTTGTAGCTGTCCCGCCCACAGATAATGCAACTTTTTTCTTTGGAAATACTGTAAAAAAGCCACTGTTCACCATATGCTCATCCTCACAGAGCAGAAAGACACAATTAGGAGGATAACTGGGATCATAGTGGAGGGTTTAACACATCAAGAGACAAATACTCTGTCCTTTAAGAGTCCGTAGAGACCCCAGGTGTCTCGTATCTTCTAGGAGTCTTATTTTCACGGCCAAAAGAAGCATTTATTGTGTGTTGAATGTCAACTTATATGAGGTTTTGCCATCACAAAATGCATGCTGATTAGTATTCTCTCAACAAAACACCATCATAGATTTTCACCTATTGATGTCCGCTGATTGCTCTGTGCATTTCCTGCCTCTTCCAATAATGTTTTTTAATGATCTGACTCCCATTTCTTCCAGGTAGAAGTCCCATTAACAACAAGAGAAGACCATTTAACGAAGCTTTCCTCCAAAGATCAGAATCAGAGGGGAAATTGACATTGTTATACATGAGAGTAACACATGCATCACTTCTGGGCAAAAATTACGGCTCCGCCCACTTCTGGGGGAAAACAACGCTGTCATTTGAATGGCGGTCCACACAAATTCTGAAGTTTTTGCCAATCCGATCAGAAATGTAAGAAAACCGTGGATTTTTGGATCTTCAAGGAGCCCGATTACGATGGCCAGACAAGCAAACAATTACATGAAATCATTGGAAATTGACGATCGGGCTCGATATATGGTTAAATATAGCAGTAGGCGATCGATGTCCATAGATGAGAGTAGGGCTGTGCAATTAATCGTATTTTAATCTCGATTACGATTTTGGCTTGCAACGATTACGAAAACAACGTAATCGAAATAAAACGATTATTATTTTTATAAAAAAAAAAAAAAAAATGTAATTATTATTTTTTTAAATATTTTTTTTAATTGTTTTTTCAGTTGAATTATACTTTAAGTTCAGGGTAATCAACTGTTAAAAACATACTGTTCCAATTTTATTTTACAATAAATGGATGTTTTCAAAGTAAATGGATAATCGTTTTTTAATAATCGTGATATCAATTATTGACCAAAATAATCGTGATTATGATTTTTTCCATAATCGCACAGCCCTAGATGAGAGTAACATCTACGTCACTTCCGGGCGAAAATTACGGCCCCGCCCACTTTTGGGGGAAACAACGCTGTCATTTGAATGGCGATCGAGCCTGAAGCCACAGAGCTCTTCTTTGTCCTTTCTTCTTAGAGGAAGTTCAGAAACACTGAACTCTGGATTTGTTTTTATGTTTGAGGTGCAATAAACGACACAGCAGCGTTTTGGCATGATAACACAATTATTTTCCACCTCGCTCATGAGAGTAACAGCTGGCGAAATGACCGCCTGGCCTACTGATTTTAATTTAACCATATATCGAGCCCGATCGTCGATTTCGGGCTCTTTGAAGATCCAAAAATCCACGGTTTTCAAAAATGTCTGATCGGATAGTTAAAAACTTCAGAATGTGTATTGACCGCCATTCAAATGACAGCGTTGTTTTCCCCCAAAAGTGAGCGGGGCCGTAATTTTCGCCCGGAAGTGACGTAGGTGTAGATGAGGAGAGCATTAAGGACACACTTGGTACACTTATTTAATGGCATTTATTTTAATCCATTATCTGTCTCTTTGTTGCTTTTTTCAGTGTCTTTTTGGCTGTTTTTTGGCTTATTGTGGTCGTTGTGCATCCGTTTGTTGTTGTTTTGTGTGTCTTAGTGTACGTGTTGAGCTCTGTTTGGTCCTTCTGCATATTATTTAAGGCATTTTCTGTTTCTTTATGATTGTGATGTGTCTGGTGGTCGTTTTGCATCCTTTTTTAGTTGTTTTGCGTCCCTTTGTTAAAGGCATTATACACTTACATTTCCCTTTTTAGTTGTGTTGTGTCTCTTTATGGTCTTTATGTGTGTATTTGGTTATTCTCTGTCTTTTTGCTGGTTGTTTTGCATCTGTTTGGTATTGTTTTGTGTCTGTTAACGGTTGTTTTGCGTGTTTTTGTTGAAGTTTTGAGTCTCTTCTTGGTCTGTTTGTGTCTGTGTTTGGTTGGTTTTTGTGTTTTGCATGTCTTAGTAGAAAGTTCCGGTCTCTTTGGGGTCTTTTTGACAGACACAGGCTCCGTCAATGCCTTGATCTTAGTAAGGTATTTGTAAATAAGGACACAGGTATCTTGTTATACTTATTTAATTAAAACTGCTTTGATTAACTCTGTGTCTTTAAAAATAATATGTTTCGCGTAAACTTCTAGGAGTATTTCTTTAAAACAATTAGCTCGACAGGAACAAAGCATACTCCGCCTTTGTGTTGTTACTTTTCGGTAAAATTAAGAGGTTATTTAGATATTTTATAACCAAATGAAAATAACACGCTCATTACAGCAGAGACATTTCAAACTCTGTATCAACAGGGACGAAATATGAGCGAGTAAACATCCAGAAGAAAACGTGCAACAGGCAGCTTTTTTATGCTGCTAAAAATACAACATATTTTCCGCCACAGGATGACGGTTAATAATGTGGTTTTAATGCTTTTCCACATTCACAGAGCACATGAACAACAGTTTAACATCTTCTCCTGTGAGGTCGCTGCCACAGAGGCGCCGTTAACACAGGATGAGCTTCCATTACCTCCCAAATTATATCAGAGTATATTTCACCTGCTGTCAAGCGCCCTCGAGGCATTTGGTGTTATGCCACCCTGAAGAGCTTCCACACGCTGAGGGATCATCACTGTTTCTGCAGAGCAAACACTTCCTGCTGCAGATATCCTCCTCTCTGCATCAGGGCTAGATCTTAATACGTTTCAATGTATACTTATTTAGATAAATGAAATAACCGTTTTTGGTAACACTTCATATTAAAGGTCACCTATCATGCTATTTTTAGGCAATAGCATAGGTCTCAGATATATACAAATATATAAAAAACATGTCTATGAAGTGTTTTGCTCAAAATACCAAACAGATCACCCATTCTAGCCATGCCTCATATCCCTCTATTTCACTTCCTGTTTCAAAAGTGCTGATTTGGGGTATAAAGCTTTACCAAAATTGCTAAAAAATTAAAAAGAGGGGGCGGAGCTCATGCGGGACCCGGCTGCTACTGTCTAAACTAAATACTGCCGTGATGAAACGCCATATCATGGATTATCAAGGATCATTTCTGAAACAGTATGGAGCTCAAAGGCTTAACGTAATATACGTCCAAAACAGTCGGGCATTGTTTCTGATAGCAACGTTTCTGATAGGGCCGTGGGTCCACATTTCAGATATTACGTCATATCGGACGCAAATCTGGATCAGCTCAGTTGTTCCCCGTTTTTAGAGATTTGGGTACGGAGGAAAAGAGAGAGGGTTTTATTTTCTGATGCTGCGTGAGTTCCCTGACACACCGGGGACACATCTTGATGTAGAAAAGACATCAAAAAGTGCATTTTGCATGATAGGTCCCCTTTACTTATCACCATCAACTAGTTGTTAATTAACATATTAGAGTCAAACGACTAGCTTATTTGTTATGAACAAGTTTTTAGTTATTTAG